CCCCCCCCCTCCCTCCCTCCCTCCCTCCTTCCTTTTTTGTTGATGATTTTTTTGTTTTGGTTTTCTGTGAATAAGCGAAAGGGCGAACCTGGTGCCTGACGAAATGCTTCAATGGAGAAAAAAAGTTCGTGTTTTGGGTAATTATGTTAAGGTGGGAAGTTGTCTTGTGTAAATTTGAGTATGGGTGGCTATATGTTTGATGAAATGGCTCAAGAAACTCGACTTTTTGCTGTAATATGGAGTTTGGACATGTATTGTGGCTTTATTTTTATGTAGTGTTAAGCTTTTAGAGTCTGATGAGCTATTGAACTCTTTATTTGCTCAAAAAACTATTTGATGAGCTTTTGGACATGTACTGTGGCTCAAAAAACTCGACTTTTTGCTTAACGACATTGCCGACGACTCTGCCGTCGTTCTCAGCGACGTCGACGATGGTTAATTTCATGTTGGGGGTCATGATTGCTGACCAGAGAGAGCGTTGAAGCATTTGGCACGTGGTGACTTGTCGGTGGAGATTGTGTTTATTACTGATATATAAATAAGTTTGATTAGAAGAAATTAAGAAATTGAGAGTGAAGAGTTTATTAGTTTCTCCTCCTCTGGACTATGTGAAATGTTTATGAATATGCGAAGTGTAGATTTGCTCAATGTATGTTTAGTATTTGTACTGATTGGATCCGTCATCATTGTACAAGTATATAAAGAAGATATGTTATCTATTATGTCATCGAAAACATATTAACTTTCTTTGTTCGCTTGTTAAGTTATATTGATAACATGTTAACTTTCTTTGTTCGCTTGTTAAGTTATACTGATAACATGTTAACTTTCGCAGTTCGCTTGTTAAGTTACACTAATAACAAGTTAACTTTCGTAGTTCGCTTGTTAAGTTACACTGATAACATGTTAACTTTGGATGCTAAATTGATAACTATATTTAGTAAATTGTTAACTATACTTCATTATATGTTAACTATTATTTGTAATCTGTTAACTAACACCCTTATCTTGATAACATGTTAGTTTTTACATTTAACATGCGTTCATATTATAGTTAACATGTAAGTTGTGATAGTTATCAATTTATATATAATAGTTAACATGTTAACTATCACAGCTTACATGTTAACTATGTAAACATTTGGATTAAACATGTTTATATATAAACTGATAACTATCATAGCTTACAACTATTATATATAAACAGATTTAGCAACATGTTAACATAATCTGTTAGCACGTTAAATGAGAACTATGTTAACCTTAATTGGTAAATTGATAACTATATTAACGTGTTAACAGATTATACTTTATATGGAACAACTAAAGGTTAATAGTTAATCAGCTACATTTTACATGTACAACACAAAACTTAACATTTAAAAGAATAAAGATAACAATTACTCAATTATACTTATATGGAACAACTCCTAATTAACAGTTAATTGGTTATAGTTCACATGTACTAGGTAAAACTTAACAGTTAATTAATAAAACTTAACATTTTAAAGAAAAAAGTTAACAGTCAATGTACTAAACTTAACAGTATATGTACTAAACTTAACATTTAAAAGAAAAAAATTAACAATTATGCAATTACATATACTTTACATTGAACGCTAAAGGTTAACATCTAATCAGCTATAGTTCGCATGTTTTAGGTAAAACTTAACAGGTAAAGGTTAACAAGAAGCACGAATAAAGCTCTAGCTTCCAGACATAAAGAAAGAACCAAGTTTTTGATCCTCTTGTGATTCAACCATCATCCACACAAAAGTTATTTTTGATTTACTAATACTCGTTGCTATACCACACATTATTCACCCATGAACTAGAACAGAGCAGCATGATTCAACACAAACTAAAAAGACTAAACAAGTACTCGACCCATAACCATCCTAAAAGAACCAAAATCTTAATCAACCTCCTCAATCTTAGGCCCAGAACCACCACTACCGCTACCACCTGCACCATCACTAGAAG